ATTAAAGTAGTATTGAATATGGGGCTGGAGTTGTGGCTCAGTGGTAGAGCGCTTGCCTGGCATGTGTGAGACCCTGGGTTCAATCCTCAGCACCTCATATGAATAAATAAATAAATAAATAGATAAATAAATAAGTTAAAGGATCTATTGAGAACTAAAAACTATTTTTAAAAAAATACTATTGAATAGCTATTAAAACACTGGAAATTATTATGAAATAAAGTTTTATGATGAATTAACCCTCTGGGTATAAAGCAGGTTGCCTATTCACTGGTTACAAAATGAATGTTAGGTTTTGTAAGAGGGAAAATAAGATGTTTACATTAAGCACGTGACTGTACAGAAATATTTGTTATGTAAAACTTAATTATTGAGAAGTTTCTTTTTTTCTTTTTGTTTTTTGGTATCAGGGATTGAACCCAGGGGTGCTTAACCACCAAGCCACATCCGCAGCCCCTTTTTATATTTTACTAACGTCAGAGTCTCACGGAGTTGGTTAGGGCTTCTCTAAGTTGCTGAGGCTGGATTTGAATTCATGATCCTCCTGCCTTAGCCTCCTGAGTCACTGGGATTACAGGCATGCACCACCATGCCTGGCTTCGAGAAGTTTCTTTATAATAGAGTTAAAACAATCTCATTTCTCTACTACAACAAGGGAATAAGATTTTTCTTTTAAAAAATTAGAAAGAAACCCTTGGGCATTTAAAATAATTTAATAATTTCGGGACCAAATCTCTATACGACTATTCTATTTAAGTGTTGCATAAGATTTACAAAATTTCCTGATGAGTTTGTCAAAAGTGTAGATTCCTGAGACTGACTTCTAGAGATGCTGATTCAGTAGTCTGGAACATGAAGAACAACTAGTCTAAGTCTTAAAAATATTGTATGTGGTCCTGGCAATGTATCAGTATATGGTCCCTAGCACCACCGAAAAAAAACAAAACAAGAAAATATCCAATATATTCTCTTTCAGTGTTTTTTGTTTTGTTTTGTTTTTTAATCTTTTAGATAGGCTTTCACTAAAATTTCCCAGGTTGGCCTCAAATTTGCAATCCTCCTATCAGCCTCCTGAGTCTCTGGGATTACAGGCGTACAACACCACACACAGCTCCCCAACATTAATTTTAAAAGACCACACAAGATACGAATAGACAATTCGTGGAGAAATTAAAATTAAAAGTATGGTACACTGCTAATCACTCTTTTACACAACAAATTGACAAAAAACTAGTTTGACAACACACAGTTGGAAGATTGCACTGATATATACTTCTATAGGAGTGTAAATTGGTATAATCCAACTACAAAGAAATTTGTCAACATATAACAAAATGCCAAATGAATTTACCCTATGACCCAGCAACTTTTACTGGCAAACTTACAATTACATCTGTACCCATGTGAAATGATATATGTACATAGCATTCAGCATTGATTGTAATTATAAACAATTAGAAACAATCATGTATCCATCAGTAAAGAATTGGGTAAATAAAAGTCTGTATGCATAGATTGGAATACTAAGCAGCTATGAAAAACAAAACGCTCTCCTGTGTACACTGATTCATAAAGATACCAAGATGTAGAACAAAAGCAACATACAGAACAATGAATATAAATGTGTTACCTTTTGTGTAAAAAAGTAAAACTGTGGGAAATAAAATGCAAATTTATATTAGCTTATATTTTCATAATCAAATTCTGAAGGCTGAGATTGCGGCTCAGTGGCAGAGTGCTTGCTTAGCATATGCGAGGCACGAGGTTCGATTCTCAGCACCACATACAATAAATAAATAAAATTAAAAATTAAAAAAAAATTCTGAATGGATCTAATAAAAAGTGGTGAACTGAGATACAGGGAAAGGGAGAATTGGGCAGGGTGGGAGAGAAACTTTTGTTGTATGCCTACACATAGTTTTGCTTTTTAAATAAAACATTTTAAACTCAACCTCAAAATTCAAAAATTGATCTGAAATTTGTATTAATAAATAAAATCACTATGTTTAGGATTACATGAGACCAAGACAACATTTATTTCTCAGATAATTTCTGGAACAACTAATAAACTGCCCTCTAATCATTTTCCTTAAGAAACTTTCTCCAAAGAATCATGCTTCTCACTTGAACAAGGAATGACTTTTTAAGCATAGCAAGATTATTTAAATATTAGAAAGCTATGAGAGATAGATCCCTACAGTACAAAAAGTTAGCAGTGGCCAGACCAGGAGGTAGGGTTTTGGAGGACCAGAGCTAATCTCTAATGTCTAACTGGCTGCTATAACTTTTCGCATAACTCTGGGGGAACAGAGAACACACAAAGTCAAGAAGAAAGCCCTTTCTACATTGTTACTGTTTGACATTAACATGTACCCCAGAGATTATATTTGAAAAGAATGCATAAAAAATTATCTATACAGTTGCATGCTTTGTTAATAAAGACATTTACTAGTTAACAAATAAAAAGCAACAAGGCAGTATGGCCATTTTTTTTTAAGAGAGAGAGAGAGAGACAATTTTTTAATATTTATTTTTTAGTTTTTAGTGGACACAACATCTTTACTTTTATTTTTTTATGTGGTGCTGAGGATCGAACCCAGCACCCCGTGCATGCCAGGCGAGCGCGCTACCGCTTGAGCCACATTCCCTGCCCCAGTATGGCCATTTTGACAATATTAATTCTGTCAATCCAGGAGCCTGGAAGGTCTTTCCATCTTCTGTGGTTTTCTTCCTTTCTTTCTTTGGTGTTCTGTAGTTATCACTGTAGAGGTCTTTCACCTCTTTTGTCAGATTGACTCGCAAGTATTTTACTTTTTTTGAAGCTATTGTGAATGGGATAATTTTCCTAATTTCTCTTCCAATAGATTCATCACTGATGTATAGGAATGCGTTTGATTTATGGGTGTTGATTTTATAACCTGCTACATTGCTGAATTCTTTTGTGAGTTTTGGAAGTTTTCTGGTGGAATTTTTTGGCCTCTTCTAAATATGGAATCATGTCATCGGCAAATAGTGATACTACCAAAAGCGTTATACAGATTTAATGCAATTCCGATTAAAATCTCAATGACATCCTTCATAGAACTAGAAAAAGTAATCATGAAATTCATTTGGAAAAATAAAGGATCCAGAATAGCCAAAGCAATCCTTAGCAAGAAGAGTAAAACAGGAGACATCACAATACCAGATCTTAAACAATACTACAGAGCCATATTAACAAAAATGGCATGATATTGAAACCAAAACAGACATGTAGAACAATGGTTCAGAATAGAAGACACAGAGACAAACCCACATAAATATAGTTATCTCATACTAGACAAAGGCACCAAAAACATTCATTGGAGAAAAGATAGCTTGTTCAATAAATGGTGCAACAAAATGAAATTGAACCCCCTCTCACCCTGCATGAAACTCAAGTCAAAGTAGATCAAACACTTAGGCACCCAGCATCTCAGGAAGCTGAGGCAGGAGGATCACGAGTTCAAAGCTAGCCTCAGCAATAGTGAGGTGCTAACTCAGTGAGATCCTGTCTCTAAATAAAATACAAAATAGAGCTGGAGATGTGGCTCCATGGTTGAGTGTCCCTGAGTTCAATCCCAGGTACCAAAAAAAAAAAAAAAAAACAAGACTTAGGCACTAGACCAGAGAGACCCTGTGCCTAATAGAAGAAAAAGTAGGCCCAAATCTTTACCATGTCAACTTAGGATCTGACTTCTTTAACAAGATACCTAAAGCATAAGAAGTAAAATCAAGAATCAATAAATGGGATGGTTTCAAACTCAAAAGCTTCTTCTCAGCAAAGGAAACAATCAATAATGTGAAGAGAGAGCTTATAGAATGGGAGAAAATCTTTACTACATGCACCTCAGATAGAGCACTAAATCTCCAGGATATATAAAGAACTCAGAAACTTTAACACAAACAAACAAACAAATAACCCAATCAATAAATGGGCTAAGGACTGAACAGACACTTCACAGAAAAAATACAATCGATTAATAAATATATGAAAAATGTTCAACCTCTTTAGCAATTAGAGAAATGCAAATCAAAACTACTCTAAGATTTCATCTCACCCAGTCAAAATGGCAATTATCAAGAATAAAAACAACAATAAATGTTGATGAGGATGTGGGGGAAAAGGTACACTCAGACATTGCTGGTGGAAATGCAAATTGGTGCAACTATAATGGAAAGTAGTATGGATATTACTCAGAAAACTTGGAATGGAATCACCATTTGACCCAACTATCCCACTTCTAGGTGCATAAATGTATGCTACTATCATGTATAACTAATTAGAACAAATTAAAAAGCAACCAGGGCTGGTGGTGCACACATGTAGTCCCAACTATTCAGGGGGCTGAGGCAAGGAGGACCCTGTGAGCTCGGGAACTGGAGACCAGCCTGGGCAACATAGCAAGACCCATCTCAAAAACAAACATCAAAAGCAGCCTATTTCCAAACCTCCTTGGGAGGATAACATGACAAGCAGTAAGCTAAAACATCAAAAGCAGCCTATTTCCAAACCTCCTTGGGAGGATAACATGACAAGCAGTAAGCTGGGATCTCCGTTTATGGGCTTTATTTTTTATTTTTTAAAGAGAGAGTGAGAGAGAGAGAATTTTTTAATATTTATTTTTTAGTTTTCGGCAGACACAACATCTTTGTTTGTGGTGCTGAGGATCGAACCCGGGCTGCACGCATGCCAGGCGAGCGCGCTACCGCTTGGGCCACATCCCCAGCCCCATTTATGGATTTTAGAAAACGAGTTTCAGTCTATTCAGGGCCTGAGATACAGCACACCTCCAGTCAGGTCCCCAAACTTACCTAGTCACAAACACGCCTCAGCCGACTCCCACTTGATTTACAACCCCACAGAGAAGAAGCAGCCACACTCTGGGATCCTGTCCCCAAAGAACAAAGCCCCGCAGCACTTGGCCATTTCCACCCAGCTCCTGCGTTTAATCCTCCTCCACAAAATAAAATCACCTCACCCTGGGTCTGCTCTTCGGGAGCCGCTTTCCATGTGACGTTTTCTTGTAAGTTTTTCTGAATTTCTTCTAGATCATGGAGAATCTCTCCCATCCTCCCTTCTGATGTGTTGGAAGTTTCTAGGTTTAAAGAAGTCAAGCCACGGTCCTCCCCGGAAGACAAGGCCTATTCATCATAAAACAGCAAATCAATTGAAAGTGCCCATTGGAACCCATCAAATATGACATCCAATGGCCTCAGCCTCCTGAGTCTCTGGGATTACAGGGGTATACCACCATATGTAGCTTCCCATCATTGATTTTAAAAGACAACACAAGATATGAATAGATAATTCATGCAGAAATTCAAATTAAAAAATACGGTACACTCGAATATGTTTTCATTTACCTCCTAGCAGGTTTTTTTTAAGATAAGGCTTTCAAAATATGTACCTTTAAAATAATATGGAATATTATTAGTATAGCAAAATATTAAAGAGTATTAAAGAGTATTTGTTATTTGTTTATTTTGAGATGAGGTCTCACTATTTTATTCAGGCTGGTCTTTTTTAAGTGTATATATTTTTAGTTGTAGATGGACACAATATTTTGGTTTTTTTTAATGTGGTGCTGGGGATCAAACCCAGTTCCTCACACATGCTAGCAAGTTCTTTACCTCTGAGCCACAATCCCAGCCCTTTAGGCTGGTCTTATACTCCTGAGCTCAAATGATCCTCCGGCCTCATCCTCCCAATTGCTGTAATTACCAACTTGCATCACAATGCCAGGCTCAAAAGTGCTTATTTCTGAGTGATGGTGTTATGGAGGAATTTAATTTGTCTTTTGTTTGTTTGCTTTTTGTGATGTTAGAATTGAACTGAGAGCTTCATGCATACTAAGCATATGCCTTACCACTGAGCACACTTCCAGCTTAATGTGTTTTTTTTAAATGCTACATACTTTCTGACTTTTTTTTCAATAAACAAGACTTTCTTAGGTAATACACAAATTAAAAAGTTTACGCCCATCTTGTGGACCTTACAAAATAAATTATACAACTTCACTGAGATAAACCATAAAGGTCAGATAATCTCCCAACTCTATCAAAAGCCAATGTAAGGGTGCTGGGGTTGTGGCTCAGCGGTATAGCGCTTGCCTAGGATGGGGGAGGCCCTGGGTTCAATCCTCAGCACTACATTAAGATGAAGGTATTGTGTCCAACTACAACTAAAAAAATAATGATTAAAAAAAAAAAAGCCAATGTAAGCATGTGGCCACATCTAGCTCTGCTCTCTGGGACCTGTAACACATGCTTCCTGATTTTTCTTTAACCTCAGGTCCTGCTATTTATTCCCCAAGACAGCCCCTCATCTACTCAGTTTTCTTTGATAACTGAAAAATCTATCCTCCAATCTTTTCACCAATCATAACGTATTATACTTATTGAGTACTTTCCACATGCTAGGTATTGAGACGAGATCTCACTATGTTACTCAGGCTGGCCCAGCCTAAGTATGGAATTTGTATAACAACCTCACAAGGCAGGTTTATTTTCCCGATTTTACAAAAGAAGTTGAAGTTCATGGAGATTAACTAAATTGCCATGGTGAATATCATCCTACATGTTCACATTGTTCAAGCACTTTTTTTCTTTTGTACTAGGAATTGAACCTAGGGGCACTTTACTCCTGAGTTACATCCCCAGTCCTATTTATTTTTTTATTTGAGACAGGGTTTCACTCAGTTGCTGAGGCTGGCCTCAAACTTGCAATCCTCCTGCAACTTGTGATCCTCCTGTAACTTGGGAGACTAAGGAAAGAGGATCACAAGTTCAAGGCCAGCCTTAGCAACTTAGCAAGACCCTTAACAATTTAGTAAGAGTCTATCTCAAAATAAAAAAAATAGGACTGGGGATGTAGCTCAGTGGTAAAACATGTCTGGGCTCAACCCTTAGTACCAAACAAAAAACCATGGGTGTTGGGGGGATCACTTTTTTGGGGGGGAAGAGGGTGGTTAGAAAGGGATCTACAATTCAGCCTTGAAGAATTCTAGCATTTAATTGCTCAGAGAGATAGAGAGAAAGAGAGAGAGAGAGAGAGAGAGAGAGAGCCTACAAATCACACTGAAAGGAACCCACCAGAATGTGATGGAGGAAAAAACCAGAAAATTTGTGTCCCAAAAGCTAAGAAATTAAAGCAAGAGAAAAATAAAATGAAAAAGTGTTAAGAGTGTCAAGGCAGATGATGTCATCAACTATATCAAGGCTGCTGAAAGGTCAAATGAAGATAAGAACCAGAATGTCTATAGACCTGACCTAGAGGCCACTGTGATTTTTTTTTTTAAATATTTATTTATTTTTCGGTGGACACAACATCTTTGTTTGTATGTGGTGCTGAGGATCGAACCCGGGCCGCACGCATGCCAGGCAAGCGCGCTACCACTTGAGCCACATCCCCAGCCCCAAGGCCACTGTGATTTTAGAGAGAGTTGGTGGAGTGGTAAAGACAAATCCTAGCCCACTTGGAGCTTCTGTAACTCATATCCAGCATGCCAAACTTCCAGTCATTCATGTTTGGTTGAGATTAAGGGTGTGGCTCAGTGGTAGAGCATTTGCCTAGCATGTGTCAGGCCCTGGGTTCCATTCCCAGTACCCTTCCCCCCCTTCCCCATACAGTTGAGACTTATTGGATCTTGAGTCCTCAAACATATTCATATTGCTCTCTTGGAAGCCATCCCTACCCCTACCCTGTTTCTCAACTTTTTCTCACCCAGCTGAGCCTACTGTGCTCACAATGTTTACTTCGTTGTCTTGTCCAGATTCTGAGAGAGGTGTCTGCCTCTGGAGTCTCTTGACAATGTCCACCAGCTGTCCCACCAGGTCCGTCAGCTTCTGGACGACTTCTGTGATGTTTTCCGGTACTGTCGCCTTTAAAAGAGCAAAGCTGGGCTTGGGAGGTCCTATAAAACAGGACCTGGGAACCAGCACTAAAAAAAGTGAACTGTAAACTCTGTGTCTTTATATAGACCAATGGAATAGAATGGAGAGCCAAGAAATAAGTGCTCATATATACGGTCAAATTAGTATTATTTTATTTATTTACTTATTTATTTGCCGTACTGGGGGGTTGAACCCAGGGCCTCATAAATGTTAAGGAAGGGCTATACCTCAAATGATTTTTTTTTAAATATTTTTTTTTAGTTATAGAGGAACACAATACCTTTATTTATTTACTTTTATGTGGTGTTGAGGATTGAACCCAGTGCCTCATACCTGGGAGGCAAGTGGTCTACCCCTGAGACACAACCCCAGCCCCTCAGATGATTTTTGACAAAGAGTGTCAAGACTATTCAATGGGGAAAAGGAGTCTTTTCAACAAACGGTACTGGGGAAACCAGACATCCATATGCAAAAATCAACTCAAAAAGCTGAGGGTGTTGCTCAGTGTGCTCAGTGGTAAAGTGCATGCTTAGCATGTGTGAGGCTCTGGATTCTATACTCCAACACACATACACACACACACCTCAAAATCTGTCGAAGACCTAAATATAAGGCCTAAAACAATACAATTTTAAAAAGAAAACAGGACAAAGGCTTCATAACATTGGATTTGGCAATCATTTCTTGAATATAACACCAAAGGTATAGGCAACAAAAGAAAAAATATAGGTTGGACATAAGAAATTATTTTAAAAATATACCTTGGGTTGAGGTTGCGGCTCAGCGGTAGAGCGCTTGCCTAGCATGTGTGAGGCCCTGCGAGCGATCCTCAGCACCACATAAAAATGAATAAGTAAAATAAAGGTATTGTGTCCAACTACAACTAAAAAATAAACATTTTTTTAAAATGTACCTCAAAAGACACGAATAGAAGGAAACCCAGAGAATGGGAGAAAATAATTGCAAATCATGAGTCTGATAAGGGATTCATACTCGGAATATATAGAGAATTCCTAAAACTCAAAAACAACGACAACCAAAAGGACACTCAATTTAAATACGGCGAAGGATGTAACTCCAAAGAAGATCCGCAAAGGGCCAATACGCACGGGAAGATGCTCAGCCTCATTGGTGCTGGGGGGAAATGCAAATCAAAACCGCGAAATACCACTTGACACCTCTATAGAGCTGTAAGGCTGTACTTAAAAAAAAAAAAAATCCAGAAAATAGCAAGTGTTGACAGGGATGTAGAAAAATTGGAACATTCATTGTTGGTGGGAACAGAACAGGGCGCATCCACCCTGGAAAACAGTTTGGCTGTTCCTCAGTCGGTTAAATACGGAATTACCATGCGATCCAACAATTCTGTTCCTGCGTATACACCAAAAGACCTGAAGACAGGGGTCAGAGGGGCAGCTGAGTGGCAGGAGGAGAGGGTAGGGGGAGAGAGCGGGCGGCGCGGGCAGCCTGCAGGAGACAGGGGGCGAGCGGGCGAGGCTCCCTACCCGCGGCTGTGCCGGGCGGTGCTCCGGCCCTTGGACCGGGCTCGGGACCCGCTCCGGGCCGACCTCCAGCTCGTTCTGCGCCCGGCTGAACTTGTCCGCCAGGTACTGCAGTAGCGTGTTCTTTCGCAGCTTCGGCGGCAGCGCCGCGCCCTCGAGGCAGGTGGGGCAGGCCCAGGGGTGGCTGGCGACCCCGGTGCCCCGCGCGCCCCACGCTCTCCTCAAGCACTCGCAGCAGAAGCTGTGGCCGCACTGCAGCGTGGCGGGAGAGGTCAGCAGCCCTTGGCAGATGATGCAGTTCAGGTCCTCCTCCGTCAGCCACACGGGGATCGCCGAACTGGAGCCGGGGCCAGCCATGGTGACCCAGGCGTCTGTACTCGGAAGCGAGCGCCCACGTCCCCACTGGCTCCTCCTCCTCCCCACAGCCTCTTCCCCTCCCCGCCGCGGTCCCTCGATGCTTGCTTTCTTCCGCTCAGAGGCCAGAGGACCGACCCGCTGCCGTCCAGCACGCGGCGCCCTGTGGGCAGAGCTGGCCTTCGGTGGCGGCCACTTGCCTGGGAAATCAATTTGCCCCAAGCCGCTAGGAAAGTGCCGATGTTCCAGAGAGTCCCTTTAGCTTGCTCCCGGTCTCCCTCATTAAGATGCAACCCCACATCGTTTGGGAGAATGAGAAAGAGGGTTCGATTCAGGAACTCATTAATGGGGATGCGCCCACTAGGTGTTATCCAGCCCGCTATAAAGTGGTAAGGAGCCGAGTGCAGTGGCGCACATCCTAATCCCAGCGGCTCTGGAGGCTGAGGCAGGAGGATCGCCAGTTCAAAGCCAGCCTCTCAGCAATAGCGAGGTGTTAAGCAACTTAGACCCTGTCGCTAAATAAAATACAAAATAGGGGTGGGGTGGGGGTGTGGTCGAGTGCCCCTGAGTGCAATCCCTGGTTTAAAAAAAAAAAAAAAAAGTGGGAAGGGATTAAAGAACACCGTTGCACATCTACTGGGACACTTTTTAAAATACCGATGTTCGGGCATCTCTCCCAGACAGTGTGATTTCACTTGTCTGGAGTGGGGTCCCGACTTGGATGTTTTATAAAACCTCCCTCAAGTGATTCTACCACGCAGTCAAGATCGAGTAACTGATCTCCAAACTTTTAAAATCTCTACAATAATGTAGAATTGTTCCAGTCTCCTTGATGCCCTTTGTGGGCTGAAAGCCCGTTACCCAACAAGCACCCCAAATCTTATAGGGATCCATCATAGAAAAAAAAATCCTGATTTTATTTGTTCGGTTTTTTTCTTGGGTTGGTTTTGCTGTTTTTGTTTTCTTGCCCCATTGGGGAGCAAAACCAGAAGTTTTTAAAATAATTTCTCAGCTGGAAACTTGATTCGATTTTTTTTCTCTTTATTTTTGTCGAAAACAGACATTTGAAATCATCTGTGTTATACAAGTCATTGGAAGTATTCACTTTCTTATTTTCTGGGATGTAGGCCAAAAAGACTCTGCTTAGGTTTGTCAAGTGACTGGCAATTACAATCAATTACACTTTGACTTAGAAACACCCTGATGTATTCAGAAAGGGCTAGAAAAATTAGAATACTTTTCAATATGTCTTTGTTGATCTAATAACCTTTTTTCTTTCTTTCTTCCTTTTTTCTTTTTCTTTCTTTTTTTTGGGGGGGGGTACTTTTATCTTATATACCTGAAATATTCTTCAAAAGATTGGACCTGTAGAATGAAATCAATGGATTTATGTAGAATATATGCCACATAATCCAACTGGCAAAGCTAGTCCTTACTGTAAAACCAGTCAGTTAAATCAGACTCATTTGCTGTCAGTTCAAACAAATTTGTCAACACACATTTTTTTTAAAGAGAGAGAGAGAGAGAATTTTAATATTTATTTTTTAGTTTTCGGCGGACACAACATCTTTGTTTGTATGTGGTGCTGAGGATCAAACCCGGGCCCACGCATGCCAGGCGAGCGCGCTACCGCTTGAGCCACATCCCCAGCTCAACACACATTTCTATGACACTGTTTGTTGTTGTTGTTGGTGGTGGTGGTGGTTTTTTCAAGACAATTGAATTGTATACTTTATTTTTTAAAATATTTTTATTAGTTGTTGGTGGACCTTTATTTGATTTATTTATATGCTGTGCTTAGAATCAAATCCAGTGCCTCACATGTTTTGTCCCACGACTAAACCAGTCAGGGTCACTCCAAGTGAATTTGGGAAATAAATGAATACACAGACACAGAAAGTACATTTTTGGGGGTTCATTGATGGTTCCTCAGCTGCAGCACCCATGGGGGGGCAAGGCAAGCAAGGAAGAGAGCAAGGAGCATGAGTGCTGAACCCTTTTATTGGGGAGAAGCCATTCAAATGAGGCAAGGTTTCAGGGGGTTGAGTCTAGCTTTGTGAAGTTTTGCTGTCAGCAGGTTGACTGACATCTAGGAAGCCCACGCCCATCTTGCCCTGTGTGGGGATCATAGAGAGAAGGAAAAGATGCTAATATTGCCCGCCCAAACAGAGGAGCAACATCCGTTCAGTCCACCCTGTGTGCTTAGTGCTCATAGTTCACACACACAGCCCATGGCTGACTTGCCACAACTCTACACTCTCATCACTCAAAGCTAGGGGGCGCTCGATTCCCACATGGCAGCTCCTGACACACACATGCCAGGCAAGCGCTCTACCACTGAGCCACAACCTAAGCCCCTGTATACTCTATTTTTGAGAGAAGTTCTCAGTATGTTGCCCAGGCTGTTCTCTAACTCCTGAACTCAAACAGTCCTCCAGCCTCAGCCTCCTGAGAGTTTGAGCCACCATGCCAGGCAATACTTTGTTCCAATGCCAAGTGAGTAAGAAGTAACAAGGTCCTTGAGTTTGTGTGCTGGGTAAAAAAAGGTATAACTGTCACCAATGTGGTCTACCAGAGTTTGCTTTGGTAGATGTTTTTGGAGACAAAGTTTTTGTTTGTGTGTTTTTGTTTTGTGGTCAAGGGAAGGGAGAGTTTATTAAGCATGTTATACATTGTCATAGTCCTTATTCCCACTCCACTTATAATAAATGAATACAAACATCCAAACACAAGCCAAAATACCCTTTTGAACTCAGGAGCACTTAGCCACTGAACCACATCCCCAACCCTTTTTGTATTTTATTTACAGACAGGGTCTCACTGAGTTGCTTGGCCTCCCTAAATTCCTGAGGCTGGCTTTGAACTCATGATCCTCCTGCCTCAGCCTCCCGGGACTACCGGTTTGCACCATGCACCCAACAAATACCCTATTTTTAATGCTGTACAAAGATCTTCATAAAACAAAGAAAGTAATGAACTGTGACCTCAGTGTCTTGATGAAAGAAGATTCCATTAACCCAGTCAAGGGACTGAAAAATTTGGGCTGAGAGCAAATTTGCCTAGCATACACAAAGCTCTGGGTTTGATCCCAGTAGCAAAAAAAAAAAAAAAAAAAAAAAGAGAGGGAGAGAGAGTGAGACAGGAAGTGAAAAACCACAGACTGGGGGAAAATATTTGCCAATTTGTCTATCAAAGGACTGGTATTCAGAGTATATGAAGAATTTAACAATAAGAAAACAAACCACACAATTTTAAAAGGAGTAGGGATGAGAATGGAAAGGGTGTGGGAACATACACCTGTAATCCCAGATACTCAGGAGCCTGAGGCAGAAAGATCTCAAGTTTGAGGTCAGCCTCAGCAATTTAGGGAGATTGTCTCAAAATAAAAAACAAAAAGGGCTGAGGCAGGGTGCTGACCTAGCATGCAAGAGGTCCTAGGTTCAATCCCCAGGACCTGATTAGGTAGGAGAATTGTCTGAGTCGGGGACCTGGAGACCAGCCTGGAGTGGGTGGGTGGAGAGATGTATATTATAATTCTTTTCTTTTTTTAAAGATTTTTTTATTACTTATTGATGGGCCTTTATTCATTTATTTGTTTATATGTGGTGCTGAGAATCGAACCCAGTGCCTCATACATGCCAGGCAAGCACGCTACCACTGAGCCACAACCCCAACCCTATAATTCTTTTCTTTTGAAAAAGAAAGAAAAAAATTACAATATACATCATTGACTTTTCACAGTCAATTTAGAGTTGATTTTGTATGCCACTTATTGTAAAATTTACTATACAAAGGTGTGCTAATCAGTTTCATCACCATAACAAAATACCTGAGATAATCAGCTTACAAAGAGAAAAATGTTTATATTTTTTTATCAGAGTTTTTATCACAGTTTTGCAGATTCCAGTCCATGATCAGTTGGCCCAGTCTTTAAGCTCCAGTTGTTATATATGTTATCTCTATAGATGCTACAAAGCAAAACATTTGTAATTTTTGCTTTAAATAGGCAATCTTTTATATTTCTTTTAAAACTATTTTTTACATTTTTTGGGGTTTGTTTTTAATACTGGGGATTGAACCCAGGGGTGCTCTCCCACTGAGCCACATCCTCAACCCTTTATTTTTTATTTTGAGACAGGGTCCCTCTAAATTGCAACAAGTGAGGCTTGAAATTTTGTAATCCTCCTGCCTTGGCCTCCCAAGCCTCTGGGATTATAGGCGTGTGTCACCTGCACCCAACTAAGAAGTTCTCATTTTAATCGGTAGACTGAGTAAAGAAGATTGCCCTACCAACATGTGTAGGCATCCTCCAATCTGTTGAGGACCTAAATAAACAATAAGGTGAACAAAAGGTAAATTCTACTCTCTGCTTGTGCTGGGCCATCCTTCTCCTTCCCTCAGACATTGGCACTTTTGGACTAGAACTTCACTACTGATTTTCCTGGGCCTCTGTTTGCAGATAGCGATCACCGAACTTTTCAGCCTCCATAATCCATAATCAAGTCTCTCATAATAAATCTCTTTCTATATATCTATGTATTTCCTACTGTTTCTGTTTCTCTGGAGAATACAAATATCATTCACATTTTCTGGTTTCATATTCATACATTCATTTCAGTACATATGTCTATAATTTGCATGTTGAAAGTCCCCCCAAGGCCCATGTTTTAAAGGCTTGGTTTCCAGAGTGGCACTCATGGGAGGTGGTGGGGCTTTTGCAAGGTGAGGACTTGTGGGAAGTCCTTAGGTCACTGGGTACATGCCTCCAAAGAGGACTATGGGACCCCAGCCCCTTCTCATCACTGGCCCAAAGCAACAGGGCCAACTGATCATAGACTGGAGTCTCCAAAACTGTGATAAAAACTCTGATAAAATAAACCATTTCTCTTTGTAAGCTGTTTAACTCAGGTATTTTGTTATGGTAACAAAACTGATTAGCACACAGTTATCTAGTAATTTGGCATTATATCCTGATATTGAGAAAGATACTTCATAGACCTTTTGGATTCTGCTACATTTCTCCAGAGATCGGGCAGTTTATATGGAAAACTCAGGGCTCCTCCTCTGTGGCTCTCTTCTCCCAGATTTTCTCCTTTCACTTTCCAATTGCTGTGTTTACTTCACTGTTCTCTGTTTTTCAGGAAGGAAGACTGTATGTTTCCATCAGAGTTTGGGTAACTCCCTGAGGCACTAACCTGGGCCTGTCCTCTGATGAAAACTGAAAAAAATGAGACATTTATCCGTGCCATTCCCTGCTTTTTAGTGCCAACTCCTTTCTGGTTCCTGCCTGCTTTGGGTCATTTCCCAGTGCTTTCAGGCATTTGTTTTGATATAGTCTGTCCAGCGCCTATAATTGATATCTGTCAGATGATTGTTGTGATATGAGTTGCTCCAACATTATTGAAAGCAAACCCTCCTACAATTTCATCTTTTCTTACTCCTCCTCACCCCAACAATCTGGTTCTGTAGACATACTTAATTATTTGAAATTTCCAGAACAGGCCTCTCTTGTCTTGGGGCCTTTTTGTACATGCATCTTTCTCTGTTTCCCCCACCCTAACCCAAGGATCTTCTACTCATTCTTTAGGATTCAGCATAGATATCACCTCTTTGGGAGAATTTTCAGTTGGGATTGATTCAAACAATTGAAACTTCCTTGCACTAACAAGTCAAGATGGAAAAAGGGGGATTTAAGGCAAGAGTACAAAGGTATCGTCAGGGAACCCAAAGATAGAGACCCAACTAGGTCACTGGGGTTTGACCTCTTGTGCCTGTCCTTGGGCCCCTCTCCCACACTCAGAAGCCTGGCTTCCCTCCCAGAATAGTGGAGCAGGGTTGTTGCTGTCTGCTGACTTTTCTTCCTTCCCCTCTGGTTTCCCTTGAGGGCAAGATTGCACCTTTCATTGATGTCCTCATCTCCAGATCTTAGTAGGGTGCCCAACACAGTTCATAGGTGGTGGTAAAGGGAGACAAGTGAACTGGCCCCTACCACACAGCCCAGCAGGAGTTGAAACAGACATTTCCAAGGTGTGACAGGTGATGCAGAGAGGACCCACCTCCCTATCCAGGTAGTCACAAAGCTTCAGGAAAGAGACACCCCAATGTGTTGCTTGTCCTCCGGGGATCCAAAGAAAAGTCCCAGTAACTGTAGAGAATCTCTTAAAGACCCTCTCAACCCTCTGGGTCTCCATTGAAGAAAAAATACCTCGTGTATTTCTGCACATCCATTGAAAAGAGAGGAAAGGATTTAAAAGGAAAAAAATCACAGAACTGGAAACTTGTCCATCTGTTTCTCTAACATTTCAGCCATTTGAGATTCCTGTCAGTTTCTCTTTCACATCTTGGGGACCTTTGACCATCTTCTTCCCTCAGCTTAAAGTGTTTTCCTCACCCTCTTCCCCCTGACTAATCTTTACACAGCCGGGAAGTTTCAACTTCAGTGTCACTTTCTGGAAAGGGAGGCGCCTGCCCTCTCCTCCTCAGTTAGGACAAGCCTGGTTGCCCCACCCTGCCACCACAGGTTGCTCTCCTTCCCCTTTCTGAACACCCTACTCCCTGCCATTCCCTGGTTAGTGGCTGCCGCCCCCTGAAGGCTGTCATCTGCCACAGCAGGGAGCACATCGTTTTATTCCTGCCTATTCATGGGGTGAGGCAGAGAGCCTGGCATCCGTGAGGTGGGCAAAAATACATGTGACTTACACTGGATTTCAATAACGAGTGCAACTTCCTCATTTCAGAGAGAAAAACCAAGGCATAGAGTTGGGGAAGTGAATTTGCTAGTGGTCTCAAGTTAGTGGCAGGACCTGACAACCCTGGATAGCTCTCCATTTTGTGGTCCAGGGGAGCGGTGTCTCCTCTGTTTTTTTTTTTTTTTTCCCTTCCAGAGCACTATGACAATCAATGCAGGCATTGTTTTGATATTATCTGAGCTTCTGTTTCTTTCAAATGTGCACAAAGATGGAACTCTACCAGGAACATTGATTCCCCCCCCTTCTTATTTATCTATTTTTTTTTATAATTGTAGATGGGCAGTATGCTTTTATTTTATTTGTTTATTTTTATGTGGTGCTAAGGATCAAACCCAGTACCTCACACATGCGAGGCTAGTCCTCTGCTACTGAGCTCCAGCTCCAGCCTGATCTCTTGGGGGGGGAGGGGGGTTCACTATGTTCCCCAGGCTGGCCTCAAACTCTCCGACTCAGGCATTCTCCTACCTCAGTCTTGAAAGTACTTAGAACTACAGGTGGGTAACATTGCTCTGGCTACTTTTATTTTTGTTAGTTGGCCTACTGGGGATTGAAACCAGGGTGTCACACATGCTGGGCTAAAGTTCTATCCCTGAGCTATACCCCCAGCTCTCTTTATTTTTTATTTTGAGACAGGGTCTTGTTAACTGTCCAAGGCTGGCCTCAAACTTGCCATCCTGCTGCCTCAGCCTCATGAGTAGTTGGGACTACAGGCATGTGACATTGTGCCAAATGGCTCCAGGAACATTTGGATTCATAGAGAAAAACATGCTTTTGAAGAGTGAAAAGTAGTTGGGTTTTTTTTCCTCCAATGTTTTAATATAAAAACTTTCAAACCTATATATTTGTATTAATAGGAAAATAACCCCATCTACACTTTATCTAGATTCATCAGTTGATAACATTTATACAGTACTGTTCTCTTTATATATATATGTATATCTGTATTTCTCTTTCTCTCTCTCTCTCTATATATATGTATATGTATATATACATATATATATATATATGTATATATACATACACACACTGTATTCATATACTTATACATACACTTGTTTTTGCTGAATCTTTTAGGAATTAGTCATAGACATCATTACATTTCACTTCAGCACGTAACTCCTAAGGACAGGAATATTTTCCTATACCATTACAGCATGAATACCATAATCTTACAATCCTATTAGCTAGTATAAATCCATATTCAAATTTCTTCAATTATCTTAATTATGTGCTTTACAGCTATTTTTTTTAAATCCAGGACCTACTCAAGAATCATACATTGCATCTGGTTTCTGGTTGCCAGACCTACAACAGTTCCCAAACTATTTTACCTTTCATCACATGGACCTTTTTGAAGAGTCCCAGCTGGCTGTTCAGCAGAGCATACCTAATGTGAATCTGCCTGATTATTTCCTCATGATTACATTCAGATTAATTTTTTTTTTTCAAAACGCCACTTCCAGGATGCTGTGGGTGCTTTTTCATTACAATGCCTCCATTTCAGATGAGCAGGTTCTGGGCCTTCAGGACATTTCAAGTCTTGGTTTGTAAGACAGGGTGACATATGTGTTCACTGTGTACCACGTCCTCTGATCTGGAGGCTGGGCAGTAGGGAAGGGCCAAGGAGCAGGAAGATCCATCACAGCTTCAGTGTCAGCAGTGAGTTCTGCCAAGCTGGCTGCTGGCTGTGCGGCACTCGTGCTGGGCAACTGGATCAGAGATAAGAACTCCTCCTTTATGCCAGGAGCTCCAGTAGGTGGCTGGTGGCCAGCCAGCTCCCCAGCCGATGGGTCACCTGCTGCTACAGCCACTCTCTGTTACTGCAGCTGCAAGGGAAACAGGAGTGTGAGGGAGGTGGTCATGCTACCAGAGGGAGCCAGAATAAAAAACAGAATGAAAAAGATAGGAAGGAAGAAAAGCAAAAAAGAACATTTTTTTTTTAAAGAAGACAAACCAAAAGAGTGGGAGACACAGAGGACCTACACACTAGAGAGGGAGCGATAAGCACAGAGATGGAGATGGAGAGAGAAACCGAAAGACTCCAACACACATGCACCTAGAGAAAAGGAAGCTCCAACTGACCCACCCAACGCCTCCCACATCTGCTTCTGAGGCTCTTTGGCTTTGGGAACTGGGACAACGAAGAAGAGAGAGTTTGTGTTTGCACTGGTCAGGCTCAGAGGGCACAGGAGTTTCCCCAAGGGTCTGTGTGAGGTCACCTGCTCAGTCTGTACTTTTCCAAACACAGAACTTCTCCCTTGTGCCCCAGAAGTCAAGCCCTGGGTCAGAAGTTTCCTGCTCCAGCTCAGCACATCTCTCCCTTTCTGCAGGGCTGTCAGCAGACAGGGCAGCCGTGCAGGGACACATCTGGGGTGAAGAGGAGGAGCCTTAGAAAGACAGACAGAGGGAAGGACCCAGGGGAAAGAAGGACACTAAAAATAGCCTTCCCTCTGGAATGGGGCAGAATCCAAAGTCCCAGGAGCTGCCCAGCAGGGTGACCTCAGCTAATAATAGGAGGACACAGTTTTCTCATGAGAAAAGGGATCAGGGACCAGGAACAAGGAGAGGTTGTCTAGCACCTAGATGATGAGCTGGGCAGAGATAGCCTCAAGGGTTCTGCTGGCACCAAACTACCATTTTTTTGTTGTTGTTGTTCCAGGGATTGAACTCAGGGCACTTGACTACTGAACCACATCCCCAGTCTTTTTTTTTTTTAGACAGGGTCTCACTGAGTTGCTTAGTGCCCTGCTTTTTGCTGAAGCTGGCTTTGAACTCGAGATCCTCCTGCCTCAGCCTCCTGAGTCACTGGGATTACAGGCGGGCAATACTGCCCCGGCTCCAAACTCCTTTTGAAGCTCATGGAGAAGGACTCTGTTAGAGGAACTTGGGGCACAGAGGGGATTTCCTGGCAACAATTGTGTGTTTTCTTTGGCAGGAAGAGAAGGCCACAGAAAACGCAGAGTCAGGGCTCTTCTGGCAACACAGTCGAGTCCCAGTGAAGAAACCCCTTCCTACCCTCTGTCAAAAAAACAACCCCCAGTCCCTGCTTCTCACTGGGTACATGGAGGGGTGTCAAGGGGCGGCACAGGACATCCCGCAAACTCTCCAGCCATTCCCGTTGCTCCTTCTCAGTGGCACAGGTGAGGATGAATCTGCGCTCCGGGGTGAGGATGGTGATGCCGGCTTTCCAGCGATTCCCTCGGATGCCTTTGGGCAGGTCTTCAGAGACCTCGTACCCCTGCTCCTTGCTCCCGATAAAAACCTGGCCCTGCTCAAAGGCATCCTGAAAATCAAAGGCACCTGGTCATCAGAGGTCACGCTGGGGCAGAGGGACCCCTGAAGCACTGACAGCCCTCAAGATCTATTTTGGTAAAGGGGAGTAAGTGAGTGTCCTTGCCAGGATTTATGCTGCAGGGGAACTTGATTCTTGGGGGGGGAGATGGGTGGATACTGGGAATTGAACTGCGGGGCACTTAACCACTGAGCCACCTCCCCAGCCCTATTTTGTGTTTTACTTAGGGTCTCACTGAGTTGCTTGGTGCCTCGCTTTTGCTGAGGCTGGCTTTGAACTCAGGATCCTCCTGCCTCAGCCTCGGGAGCCGCTGGGATTACAGGAGTATGCCACCGTGTGGGTGGGGGAACGACTTGAATTTGAAAGGTTAAAACCCTGAAGCAAATCACATAATCATCTGTTGAGAAGACACTTAACATGTATGGAGAGATCACTGGGCACCAGGAATACAAGCGCTTTACATGTAGGAAGTCATGATCATCATGGGACCCGCTGAGCAAGGCATACATATTAAGTCTATTTTTCACAGAAGGAAACTGAGGCACAGAGAGATAAGTGTGTACACTACCCAGGGCATGCCACCACAATGGCATGGCTGAGACCGGAGTCCAGACAACCAGGTTCGAGAGACCCCACTCCTAACCACTCCTCATCTCAGCCTCCTGGTTAGGCCCCAGAGACTGCAGGGGGGATATGCCTTATCTAATCACAACTGGCAGCATCTGGGAAGCTCTCAATGGGCTTCTGGAACAGGAACTAACTTAGAAGGGGAGGGGGCACAGGCTTTCCTGACCAGGGCTCCCCAACCCTGGGGGATCCAGGAGATGAGTTTATTTGTGTAGGCTGGACAAGTGCTGATCCACCTCTCCTTGGGACTGTCCTGGGGAGGGACCAGGAGTGACTCTTACCAGCGGATTTTTGTAATACAGCAGCCTCCGCTCCTGGGGATCCAGGGCAAACCACCTTTTCTTGAAAGGTTCTCTCTGCTGCAAAAGAGGGAACCTCTTACCAGGGATGACAAAGCAGGGGACAGAGGTCAGGGCCAGCCTAGAACAAGCCCAGTACTTCTCTCTGGGGCTCTGCAAGTTCCCAACCCCATTCCCAGCCCTCATCTCCCACCCCACCCCCTTCCAGCTTCACCCCTGCTGCCTCCAGGTGCTGCCAGAGCTGGGAAGGCCCGCTTCCCTCTTTCTCAAGCTGTGGACAAAGAAATCTCAGAAAAAGGAAGCTGGGGAAATCAGAAGTGGCTACTGTTCAGCCAAGCTGAAAGTGCTGGCCTTGACCAAATCCTAACCTAGGTCAGGGGAGAGAAAACCCTGGGGTAAAAACCATAGGGAGGGGCGGTGCCCAGCTAGAGAAGGAAGAAACCTAAAGCAAACCTTTGGCCCCTTTTCCAACCCACCTGAGACTTTTCTCACTCTACCCCTGACACCTTGCACCTTTTTTTAACATCCATCCTATTCTGGGAGCTACCTTTGCCTTGCTTCTCCCTTGACTTCCCCCTCAACCCTCATCCAACCACCTGGACCCCCTGCACTCAGACTTTGTTTATGTGTGGTGCTGGGGATTGAACCCAGGGCCTTGGGCATGGGAGGCAGGCACTCTACCACTTGAGCTATCTACCCAGCCCAGCCAAGCTTCCTTAAGCTTCATCAATATCCAGGTTCCTCCCTACAGTAGCAGCCCTTCCTTTCCTTCATAGATAAGTGGGAATAAGCAGCTGCTGAGGGAGAGGGCTGGTTTAGCAAAGGAGTCAGGCTGAGTGTGAGGGAGTGAGTGCACATGCAGCCTCACCCTGGCATGAATGTGTTTCCTTGGGCCCGTCTGCCTCTCCTTGGAGGGTCCCCGTGGGTTCCCAGCAGAGGATTCTGGGAAGCCCAAAAGCTGTCTCCCCAGGGATCCCCTTCTTGGCTCTGCTTTCCCACAGATGGAGGGAGTTTGGAGGAAAGAAGCTGATGGTGATGATGATGGGGGTTGGGATACCCCCATGAGAGAGAGAAGGCCCTGGAGCAACACATGTCAGCTGGATCACACATCAGCTGACATGGAGCCTTCACCCATTCCTTCAGCCCAGGAGCTCACAAATACGGCTTTACTTTCTTTCCCTCCCTCTCCAACCCTCTTTCCCCATTTCCCCACCTCCCCAATTCTGGCCTATTGGTAGTTGGGACAGATCCATGTAAGTCCCCCAAGGAATGGTTGAATGTACCTTTGGACCAGTCTTTTCCATGAAGCCTTGTTTGAGGTAGTTCCTGGTGAGGAAGGGCACGAGCTGGGGGAAGAGAGACAGAGGCTGACCCCCTCCTCACACCCCAAGAGTTCAAGGTTCCCCACTGAACTTGGCTCCCAGAGAAAGGGGAAGTTTGGAATAGGGAAGGATGTGAACTCATGGTTTACGGGGTTATATTTGGAATGTGCAATGGATGTAATATCAATATTTCAACAAAGCCAGTCGACAGCACCCCAGATATTTGCTGAGCTCACCAGCATGGCTGAGTCTTAGTTTAGGGACTTGGTTTAAGGACAACTTCAGTCACAAGAATGGATTCAAGTGAGGCCATGAGAAGACCTTCTTGGTGTCTCTTGGGAACATTTTCCCAGGGTCTACTGTGTGTCAGGATCTGGGTGCAATCCTCAGCCGCCCTGTGAGGTGGATCTTATCGGCTTCATTGTGCATCTAAAGGAACCCAGCTGAAATGAAGTGGTGGTGGGTCTTCTCCAAGTTATGTAGCTGGTAGCATGCTCAGGACTGGGAGGCACAAGGCCATACACCTGCCACCTCACTGTGGTGCCAAGGTGCACACGTGCCAGAGCCCCCTTGACTGAGACTGGCCATTGGCAGCTAAACTGATATAGGGTCACAAGGAGGTGACTGTAGAGTGGGCAAACAAGGAAAACTCTGGGTAGGAGTGGAGGGACATGCATTCTCGCTTCACCTCTGGTCTCAACCAGCTGTGCTACCTTAATGAGACCTTCTGTCTCTCTGGGCCAGTTTCCTCCTGTGCAATGGACAAGACTTGATCATGTGAGCTCCAGCCTGCCTTCCTGTGCTCAGAGAAGCTGCCAGGGACTGACACTGGCCTCCTGTGCTGTGGGAGGACGGGGTGGGGAGGGGGTGTCAACTGGGCAAGTCAAAAGTTTCAAGCAGCAGACTTGTTTCAAGAACAGAGCACGTTCTCCCAGGCTCCAGGGCAGGGGCAAAGGGGAGGGGAGATCTGGGGAAGAAGAATGGGAAATATGAAAGGGGAGAAATTGGGGGCCCAAAATGAAAACCTCAACTATGTTACTCCCTTTTCCCTAAAATACATCCTATAAGCTTTAATTTCTCCATTTGGAGAAAATAGGGTCACCAGTTGCTCCCTATTCTGAACTTGAGCCAGCCGAGGGCTAGTCTAGGCTCAGGGAAACAATGGCAAGAAGGGAATTCCTTACTGTACCTTGTATAACTTGACTCAAATGATTCTTAAAATAGTCCTGGAAGGTAAGCATTGTCCCTGTGGTGACAGATGAGTACACTGAGGCTCAGAGAGGCGAGGTGGCTTGCCCTAAATAACACATCAGAATGTGTGTACCTTTCTTTCTTTTTTTCTTTTTGTGGTGCTGGGGATGGAATTAAGTATGCTAGGAAAGTGCTCTACCACTGAGCTACATCCCCAGCCCTGTACGAATTTTTGTTTTTGTGATTTCTTTTTGCAGTACTGGGGATTGAACCCAGAGTTTCATGCTAGGCAAGCAACTGTATTTTTTTTTTTTTTAAAGAGAGAGAGAGAGAGAGAGAGAGAATTTGAATATTTATTTTTTAGTTTTCAGCGGACACAACATCTTTGTTTGTATGTGGTGCTGAGGATCGAACCCGGGCCACACACATGCCAGGCGAGCGCGCTACTGCTTGAGCCACATCCCCAGCCCTAGCACTGTATTCTTGAACCCATCCCTGTTTGTTTAATTTCTGAAATAGGGTCTTGCTCAATTGTCCCACTGGCTTTGAACTTGTGATCCTCCTGCTTCAGTTTCCTAAGTAGCTGGGATTATAAGCATTGTACCCAGATTCTGTATCTATTTCTGATAAAAATATCACAACTCCACAGGGCCTCCCTGGGTTTCCAGCATTTGGATCCTTAATCCTGAGCTAAGTCTGGATGATTGCCCAGAATTTGACACCATACATAGACATAGGGTGGGAAGAAAGACAGAGGAGAGAGGTGGGTTGGGAGGACACTGGGGATGGATAAGGGGTAATGATCATGAACAAGAGAGAAAAGGGAACGTGGAGGACACTGGCTGAAGACCAATTTCCTCAACATGGGTCAGCAAGGATGGGAAGCCAGCCCCAGTGAAAGAAGGCTGAGCACTTTTACTTTGTCCTCTCCTCCTCTTGGGCAAAACAGTCAGCACTCCCAACTCCCGCCCAAGGGAGCAAGCATGAGCCAGCTCCAAGTGCTGACTCAGCACACCAACCTCCAAGGGCTTCTCAGAACCAGGTCAGGCCTTACTGGAACTGTACCCAGGGAGCTGCTGTCTCAATGCATCATTGGGCCACCGGAGTGGACCCTAACCCAGACATCTAGCTCCCTGCAAGCTTGGGAACTGAGGAGCAAAGAGGGTCAAAGAGTTGGGAGGAAGGAAAGTCCAGGTTTAACAGGATCTCTCTATCACTTTAAAATGCCTCTTAGAGGAAAGCTTAAAACAGGGACCAGACCACAGCACCTCAGGGCTGGAAGAGACCATGAAGAGGGTCTGCAACAACCACCCAATATGAAAACAGATGCTCAGAGAGGTGCCATGACTTGCAAGAGTCACATAGCAAATCAGGAACAGAGCATCCATGAGGGTGCAGGCCTCCTGGCTCAAGGCAGCATCCTCTGCCTTGTGCCACATGGGCTACCCCACCCAAGCCTGAGGACAGTCCAAATGAAGTTCTCGGGCTCACCATTACCTTGGCCACTGTAGGCAGACCTCTCCTGTTACAAGTGCAGTGGGGAAGATCCTAAGGCCTCCCTGAGTCCAGAGCACCATAGGGAAAAGGGCAGATGTTAGTGTGAGAAGAGCACCTTCCGTTACTCACTTGACCTTCCTGGGACTCCATCTCTCATCTGTAAAATGGGAATACTCATCCTGCCTAAAAGGGTTACGAGATAAAATGGGCTCAACAGTATGTAGGGACCATTTGTTCATTTTAGTGGGAGAAGGGGTCAGAAAGAGTTGTCCAAAGGCTGAGCCTCTTGACACTATAGTGGCCATGTGTCCTGAAGGGAAGAAACTGACCTGATTTTTAGAGTCTATTATCCTCCGGCCTCCCCAGAAAAATAAAAGCCTTCAGCTTCCCTCTGTGATGCCCAACCCTCTCCTTTCAAGGTCTTGCCTGCAATAAACCTCGTCTGGCCTCAGGGATCAGTAGTTGAGGAGAGGAGGTAGCAGGGGGAGACTTAGAAGTTGGGGTCTACATGTAGCTCACCTCAGACTCTGGAAGCTCGGGGTAGGCCATTTTTAAGTATTGTAGACGGGCTGCGCGGAGGGCGTTGAACCAGTCCACTATCTCCTGTGACAAAATACAAAGGACACAGACAGCTAGTCAGACGGGTGAGGACGGGAGGCTGAGTCTGGTGGCAGGGTTAGGGTTCTCAGGTTTGGGGCCGATGCATTCAGCACACATATATGCCACACAGTTCCACCTAGGGTCAACCTGGGAGGACTAGGCCACAGCCCCCCCCCCCCCCCCCCCCGGGAAGCCACTGACAGGAGGGACTCTAGAGCTATGGGAAAGGACTCAGGTGAGCTGCATGGGAGTTACACACAATGGCTCAGGACATTGCTTTACACTTTCTAATGCCTGCTGCAATCATCTGGAATCTTGTTCAAATGTAGACTCAGATTCAGGAGCTCAGATTCAGACAGTGACTGTCTGGTTAATTCATCCAGGTTGGCTGGAGGCCTCCACTACCCTAAGTTCTTTAGCATGATGCACTCTGCCCTCTGAGCTCTTTCCACTCAACATTTTCAATACCCCCAACTCATGCTATCCCCTACTCCTGGCGCACTTGGCCTCACCCACCTCCCTCCCACACACATCTTTTAACTAGAACATTCTACCATCCTGCAGGTCAGTTTAGATGTTGTAATAAATTTTCGGCTGGTTGCTTAGCCAACCTGTTTCTCTGAGAACTGCCCCTCACCCCATTTCCATTCCCAATCCTGTCCTTCCTGGGCCATAGCACCTGGACCAGGACTGGACCGATACAGAGGCTGGACTGGATTTACCAGATTCTTTCTCCCAGGAACTGGGAGGCTGAAAGACTTGTCCAAATAGCTGCAGCACTGGACTTTGATGTAATACGGTGACCGAAAAAGTCATTTAAATATGGTTTCAAAGGAATGAAACAATTTCCACTTGTCTCCCCTAGGTCAAGGATAGGGGGATAGTATTCTGAAGTTCCAAGCCCTCTTGCCCCTGGGTTTGTTAAGAACTTTCTAGGGTCTCAGGCACTAAGGGAATGGGGCCAGACCAGAAAAACTCGCTCAGGCTACCACTTTATAAGGTCTCTCCAGTAATGGACTGGTGGCCCTGGGACAAGAGAGATGACTGATTACATTCCTTGCTAATCTTGGAAATGAGGCTCTTGAATTTAGGGAAACAAAACAAGTGTGGTACCATTTGATCCCTGATGATGTAAGGACAACTTGTGCCTGTTAAAGAGTGTACTTTGTCCCTCCCTTTCTCTCTCTCTCCTCCTCTCATTTTCTCTTCCTTTCTGCCTCTCTGGAGGGAGGGAAGGAGAGAGAGAGAGAGAGAGAAAGAGAGAGAGAGAGAGAGAGAGAGAGGAGAGGAGAGATGAGTGTTAGTTCCTGATTTTAATCTCTCAGGAGGCCCAGCAGTACTTCTGGCCCTTAAAACAAATACTTCTGTCCCCTTCCTGTTCATGCTTCTTTAAACCAGATTGTACTCCTTTTTCTGTGTGTGTGTGATGCTGGGGATTGAATCCAAGGGTGCTTAACCACTGAGCCACATCCACAGCCCTTTTTATATTTTATTTAGATACTGAGTTGCTTAGGGCCTCACTAAGTTGCCGAGGCTGGCTTTGAATTCATGATCCTCCTGCCCCAGCCTCCTGAGCTACTGGGATTACAGGCATGGCCACCATGCTCTTTATACCATGCCCTTTACACCATGGTAGAATGCTCCTTTTTAGCAGAATCCCCCAAATTCTTAAATAGAAACTTTCCTCTGGAAAGCCTTCTTGACCCTCCTGCACACATACTAAAAACACACGTCTTCTGTGTGTCCCCAGCATGGCCACCCATCACAGGGCATGGTCAGTGCCTATTTCCCTGTCCTCCTCCCTCCCTAGACTGTGAGATCCTTGAGGCCCATGACTCTGCACCATTCATGATGACACTCCCTAGACCCTTCACACACTGCAGGGGCTCAAGAAGAATTTGTTAAAAGAGTGAGTTCGTAAATGAATAAATGACTACAAGACTTTGCCCTTGATATCTGCTACAGTCATGAGCAAATATCAACCGTAACAAGTAATGTTTGTAATGCACGTAATGGTGATGAAATCTTTCACATCCCTGGTTCATGGTCATTCAGCTCTTAAAGTCCCTCTGAGAGATGGGTGCCAGAATCCAAAAACAAGCACAGGGGAGCGACCTGCCCCAGCAACATAGCCGAGAGCAGCAGAGCCGGGGCTCTAACTTTGACTCCAAATCCCTGCCACCAGGCACCCAGGTAGACTGTGGAGTAGACGAAGGAGTCTGCGAAGGCTGCTGACAGGGTGACCCACAGAGGCACGTGGAGTGGTAAAATGGATGCAAAGGGCCCGAGAATCATTGGCTGTATGATACTAATTTTCATGCCTCGGGAGCAAGGGGACAAGACATTTCCATGGTTGTTGTTTTTTTTTTTTTAAACATTTTATTTTTTTATTTTGTAGATGGAGACAATACCTTTATTTTATTTATTTATTTTTACGTCGTGCTGAGGATTGAACCCAGGTCCTTGCACGTGCTAGCCCAGTGCTCTACCGCTGAGCCACAACCCTAGCCCTCCATGGTTGTTTACAGGATTAAGAAATGCAGGGGCTGGGGCTGTAGCTCAGTGGCAGAGCACTTGCCTAGCATGTGTGAGGCACTGGGTTCGATCCTCAGCACCACATAAAAAAAATAAATAAATAAAAATAAAGGTCCATTGACAACTATGTGTGTGTGTGTGTGTGTGTGTGTGTAGATATATAAATGCTGAGCTTGGATTGTGGCTCAGCGGTAGAGTACTTGCCTAGCATGTGCGAGGCCCTGGGTTCAATCCTCAGCACCACATAAAAAATAAAAAATAAGGGGCTGGGGATGTGGCTCAAGCAGTAGCGTGCTCGCCTGGCATGCGTGAGGCCCGGGTTCAATCCTCAGCACCACATACAAACAAAGATGTTGTGTCCGCCGAAAACTAAAATAAATAAATAAATAAAAATTCTCTCTCTCTCTCTCTCTCTCTCTCTCTCTAAAAAAATAAATGAATAAAAGGCACTTATTAAAAAAATAAATAAATTTTTAAAATTTAAAAAAATAAAAAATAAAAGTATTGACAACTACAAATAAAAAATAAATATTATAAAAAATACTGTATAGAACAGCAGAGTTAATAGATGCCCACAAAATGTAAACCCCGACTTCCCTCTACCCACTACTTAGCACCTCTGTTCCCTGCCCCCATCATGTGGTCAGGATCTGACCCTGTGTACTCTCTCAAACCTGGACTATTGGCCTTCTCTTCTCTGGGCTGATCTGCAGACCATTAAGTAACACTTCTCAAACTTTCACATGCTTTGGGATCACCTAAGGATCCTGTTGAAGGGAACTTTCTAATTCAGTAGGTCTGGGATGGACTTGGGACTCTGGTTCTAACAAGTTCCCAAGTGATGCCAATGCTGTTGGTCCAGGACAGTGGCTGAGCAGAAAGGCCCTATCCTGAGTTAGCCATTCCTCCTTCTGTATTCAGAAACTCAGGCCCTATCTGGATGTACCATTCTTAGGCATAGTCCCTTCTGCTAACTGGACTCCCACTGGTGATTGTGCACTGTTCGTATAGGACCATGGCATCTGCCAGGTTCCTCTCCCACATGTCACTCTGCCTTCTTCAGACCTCTGTGTCACACTGGAAACTGAAAACAGATTAAGGCAAGAGGCAGCAATAAGTCTTCAGAGGCAGCTGAACACATTGTGCAATGAGCAAGGATGGTGGTGAGCTGGACCGGCAGCTGGGGTGGGACTCCAGCCATCTCACCTTCCCACTCTCGTGGTACACAAACAGGTTCCTGATGTGGCGCTCTCTCCTGTAGGTGATCTGCAGCCCGTGCGGGTGCCCTATCTTCTCTGTCTGGAAAGTGGCATTCAAGTCCTTGATGTTGATGACAGCTTTAGGGCCTTTACTCTGAAAGAGAGAAAGAAGATACTCCAGATGCTGACAGTCAACAGGTGACTTCTCATCACCTTCACCAAGGCCCTTAATGCAAACGAAAAAACAACATGTAAGTCTGGACTTTAATGTTCTTTGCCCTGACTTAGATGCAAAAATCCTTAATAGAATCTAAGAAAATTTTATTTGACAACATAGTAAAAAGACCAAGGAGGGCAAGGATGGTTTAACATATACAATCAATAAATGTAATTCATCACATAAAAATATAATCAAAGTCAAAAATCACTTAATTATCTCAAAGATTCAGAGAAAGCCTTCAACAAAATTCAACACCCATTCATGTAAAAACATTGAAGAAACTAGGGATAGAAGGAAACTACCTGAACACCATCGAGGCTATCTATGAAAAACCCAAAGCCAACATCATAATGAATGGGGAAAAATGGAAAACATTTTCTTTAAAATCTGAAACAAAAAAAGGATGTCCAATTTTACCACTTCTATTTAATATAATACTGGAAGTTCTATCCAGAGCAATTAGTTAAGAGAATAAAATAAAAGGAATAAAAATAAGAAAGGAAGAAGTTAAATTACCACTGTTTGCAGATGATACGATTCTATACTTAGAAGATCCAAAAAGCCCCACCAAAGAACTGCTAGAGCTAAAAAAACAAATTCAGCAAAATAGCAGGTTACAAAATCAACATAGAGAAATGAATAGCTTTCTGATATACCAAGAATAAATGGCTTCAAAAAAATCAATGTGTTACAAAAATTACACATTAGCTTAAAAAGAATACCTGGGAATAAATCTAATCAAGGAGATGAAATAATTTTACAATGAAAACTTACAGAATATTGAAGAAAGAAATTGAACAAAATGAAAGAAGTGAATGGGCAGAATTAATATTGTCAAAATGGCCATACTACCAAAAGTAATATACAGATTTAATGTAATGCCCATCAAAATATCAAGAATACTAGGAAAAGCAGTCCTAAAATTCATTTGGAAGAATAAAACACCCAGGATAGCCAAAGTAATTCTAAGCCAAAAAAGCAATGCTGGAGGCATCACAAAACCTAACTTTAAATTATACTACAGAGCTATAGTAACAAAAAGTGCAAGGTACTGGAAATAAAAACAGATGCACCAACCTACAGTATAGAATAGAAGACACAGAAATGAACCCACACAGGGGCTGGGTTATAGCTCAATGGTAGAGCACTTGCCTAGTATGTGTGAGGCCCTGGGTTCAATCCTCAGTACCACATAAAAATAAAGTTAGTGTGTCCATCTACAACTAATTATATATATATATATATATATATATATATATATATATATATATATATATAAAAATAGAGAGAAGAAACAAACCCACACAGATACAGTCATCTGATCCTTGACAAAGGTGCCAAAAACATAAATTGGAGAAAAGACAATTTTTTTTAGAGAGAGGAGAGAGAGAGAGAGAGAATTTTTAATATTTATTTTTTAGTTATTGGAGGACATAACATCTTTGTATGTGGTGCTGAGGATCAAACCCGGGCCGCACGCATGCCAGGCGAGCGCGCTACCGCTTGAGCCACATCCCCAGCCCCAGAATTTTTTTTTTTTATATTTAGTTGTCAATGGACCTTTATTTTATTTATTTTTATGTGGTGCTGAGAATTGAACCCAGGGCCTCACACATGCTAGGCAAAAACTCTACCACTGAGCCACAACCCCAGCTCAAGATAGACTTTTTAACAAATTGTTCTGGGACAACTGGTAAGAGATAAGGGTCTAGAATAAAACTAGACCTTTATCTCTCACCCTGAATAAAAGTTAACTCAAAATGGATCAAGGACCTAGAAACTATACAACTCGTAGATGAAAACGTAAGAGTCAGGCACAGTGGCACATATCTATAGTCCCAGAGGATTGGGAGGCTGAGTGAGGCAGGAGGAGGCAAGTTCAAAGCCTGCCTCACCAACTTAGTGAGTCCCTAAGCAATTTAATGAGATCCTGTCTCTAAATAAAATATTTTTTTAAAGGCTCAGGGTATGGCTCAGTGGTTAAGTGCCCCTGGGTTCAATCCCCAGTGCAAAAAAAAAAAACAAGAAACGTAAGATCAACAACACTAAAACATATAGGTATGAGCAATGACTTTGTCAATATGACCTCTAAAGCTCAAGAAAAAATGGTAAGAATTAATAAAGCGATTGGCATCAAATTAGAAAGCTTCTGTGCAGAAAAAAAATTAAGAATGTTATGAGAGAACCTATAGAATGGGATAAAATCTTTGCTGATTACTTTTCTGAAAGAGGGTTAATATCAGCTCAAATGATTCATGAGTTCCTGGTGGCCCAGAAAAAAATAAGCTGTGCCAGTGTCCCCTCCAAGCAAGAGATCAAGAACCCACCAGCCCAGTCCCAGGACATTTCCTAAGAATATTCCTGGCACTGTTTGAAAACCCCATTTAATTAATGGTGAAGAATTGGATTCCTGATCCATGAGTATATGACTTCATTCAGTTGGGGCCACTGAAATAAAAAAAATCTACCTGAACTGTGGGGCAGTGTCCAGATAGAGCAGGAATAAGATTGGCAGTGGGAAAGTTGTTCCTGTGTGCCCTCTGCACTGGGCTGCCACTTGACCTGCTTGTGCAAGGGTATGACACCCAGTACATACTATAGAGCATGAACAATAGAGCCACTGGGGTTGTCTGAAACAATTCTAAACTTGAACATGGAGACTGCACATGGATTTTAGGGTTTGTGCTCTGGGATAAACATAAGCTAAAATGAAATAACACAACCAGTCCAAAGGTAATTCAGAGAATAAGGACAGTAAATGTTAGTGGGGAATAGTTTTTTTTTTTTTAATAAATAAAGTCATTGCTGTTTTTTTTAATATTTATATTTTAGGTGTAGATGGACACAACACAATGCCTTTGCCCGTGCTAGGCGAGCGCTCTACCTGAGGCACAATCCCAGCCCGGGAATAGGTATTTTGACAGTGCTTATCTGATATCATTTTTCAGAGTTACAAACTAGAATGTACAAGCCCTTAGTATCACATAGCCTTCAAGTTGGTTGTGACCTTCTTGTCAGTGATTCTTCTAGCCAGTTTCCTCCCCTTGTCAGAGGTGACAAAAAGTGGAAGCCTAGAGTGAAGTAGGATGCTAAGACATCAGGCATAAGGAAAATATTTGCAGGTTCCCTGTTCAGGGCTTTTTCCTATCTTCCCAGGGCTGGTGAACCTTAGATGAATTTGTTCTTTTCTTGTGTTTGTGATTTTTAGAAAAGTGGATGACCAGTAAATGGTGTTAAATTTTGTAATAAAACAATTTGATACTCTTTAAAAAAAAGAGACCATGAACAGAACTTCTAAGAAACATGGGATAACATGAAAATACCAAATATAAGATTTATCAGAATAGATGAAGGCGCAGAGATACAAAAGGAAGGCACAATTTTTTCAAAGAAATAATATCAAAAGATTTCCAAAACCTTAAGAATGAAATGTAAAATCAAATACAGGAGGCTAACAGGATTCCAGATATACAAAATTACAACAGACCCATACCAAGGCACATTATTATGAAAATGTCTAGCATACAGAAGAAGGGTAGAATTTTAAAGACTGCCAGAGGAAAATGATAGTTCACATTTAGAGGGAAACCAATCTGGATTTCAGCTGATTTCTTAACCCAGACCCTCAAAGCTAGGAGGTTTTGGAATAATATATACCAACCTCTGAAAGAAAATGGATTCCAACCACAAAAACTCTACCCAGCAAAATTAAGCTTCCGAATTGACAATGAAATAAAGACCTTCCTTCCATGATAAACAAAAGTTAAAAGAATTCACAATAGAAAGCCTGCACTCCAGAACATATTCAATAAAATATTTCATGAAGAAGCAATAAAAAATAAAATTGAAAACCAGCAAAGTGAGGAACTACACAGAATAATAGTCAATCAAAGAAGAAACTAATTCAAATTAAGACCAGCAATAAATCAAAATGATAGGAAATAAAATCATTTCTCAATAATAACCTTGAATATAAATAGCCTAAACTCATCAGTCAAAAAGAATAGACTTGGGCTGGGGATGTGGCTCAAGCGGTAGCGCGCTCGCCTGGCATGCTTGCAGCCTGGGTTCAATCCTCAGCACCACATACAAACAAAGATGTTGTGTCTGCTGAAAACTAACTAACTAAATAAATATTTAAAAAAAAATAATAGACTGGCAGACTATATTAAAAAACAGATCCAACAATATGGGTGTCTCCAAGAGACTCACCTCATAGGCAAAGACATCCACAGACTGAAGGTAAAAAGGATGGGAAAAAGCATATTTTTCACGGGCATCTCATACACAAGCAGGGGTTTCTAGCCTCATATCACAAAGTGGACCTCAAGCCAAAATTAATCAGAGGGGACAAAGAAGAACATTTCATACTGCTTAATGGAATTATACATCAAGAAGACATAACAATCATAAAAATTTATGCCTCAAACAATGGAGCATTTACAAAGATCAAACAAATCCTTCTTAATTTCAAGAATCAAATAGGCCACAATACAATAATACTGGGTTACTTAAACACACCTCTCTCACTACTGGATAGATCTTCCAAACAAAAACTAAAGGAGCTGTAGAACTAAAAACTATAATTAATAATTTAGACGTACCAGACATTTATAGAATATTTCATCCATCAATGACTGAATATACTTCTTCTCAGCAGCACACAGAACCTTCTCTAACATAAACCATATCTTAGGTCACAAAGCAATTCTTAGCAAATAAAAAATAGACATAACGCCTTGCATTCTATCAGATCATAATGTAATGAAATTAGATATCAATGATAAAATAAAAAATAGAAGCTACTTAACTCCTGGAGACTAAATAATACACTTTTTAATGACCAAATGTATAGCAGAAAAAATCAGGGATGAAATGAAAAAAATGCTTAGAGATAAATGAGAATAGCGATACAACATATCAAAATCTCCGGGACACTATTAAGGCAGTTTTAAGAAAAAAGTTCATTGCATTGAGTTCATTCATTAAAAGAATAGAAAGTGGGCTGGGGATGTGGCTCAAGCAGTAGCGCGCTCGCCTGGCATGCGTGCGGCCCGGGTTCGATCCTCAGCATACAAACAAAGATGTTGTGTCTGCCGAAAACTGAAAAATAAATATTGAAATTTGAAATTCTCTCTCTCTCTCTCTCTCTCTCTCTCTCTCTCTCTCTCTCTCTTTCTTTCTTTCTTTAAAAAAAAAAAAAAGAATAGAAAGTCACCAATGAAATAACCTAACATTACATCTCAAAGCCCTAGAAAAAGAAGAACAAATCAACACTAGAAGTAGTAGAAGATGGGAAATAATTAAATTCAGAGCTGAAATCAACAAAATTGAAACAAACAAACAAACAAAAAAAAACAATTAAAAAAATCAACAAAAGTTGGTTCCTTGAAAAAATAAATAAAATTGAAAAACCCTTAGCCAAGCTAACCAAGATAAGGGGGAAAACCCACAAATTACTAAAATTCATGATGAAAAAAGAAATATTACCATAGGCACTACTGGAATACAGATGATAATTAGAAACTTAGAAAATCTTGAAGACATGGACAAATTTCTAGAGACATATGACCTACCCAAACTGAATCAGGAGGACATAGAAAATTTAAACAGATCAACTTTAAGCAATTGAAATTGAGGATGCCATCAAAAGCCTACCAACAAAGAAAAGCCCAGGACCAGACGGATTCTCAGCCTAGTTCTACCAGAACTTCAAAGACCTAACACCAATCCTCCTTGAGTTATTCCAAGAAACAGGAAAGGAGGAAACCTTTTCAAACTCATTCTATGAAGCTGGTATCATCCTAATACCAAAACCAGACAAGACACATCAGGAAACAAAACTTTTTGTGTCCACCGAAAACTAAAAAATAAATATTAAAAAATTCTCTCACTCTCACTCTCTCTTAAAAAAAAAAAAAGTGTCCATCTAGGACTAAAGATATTTTTTAAAATATTACTATATTACAGAAACAGCATAGTATTAGCACCAAAACAGATATTAAGACAATGGAACAGAATAGAAGACATAGAGACAAACCCAAATAAATACAGTTATCTCATACAAGACAAAGGTGCCAAAAGCCTACATTGGAGGAAAGATAACCTCTTCAACAAATGGTTCTGGGAAAACTGGAAATCCGTAAGTAGGAGAATGAAACTGAACCCTTATCTCTCACCCTGCACAAAACTCAACTCAAAGTGGATCAAGAACAATTCTATTCCTAAGTACACCCAAGAAAAATGGAAACCTATTCACCTGAAAACTTGTACGTCGCTAGCAGCATTATTCATAATATCCCCAAAGTGGAAACGATTCAAATTCCCATCAACTGATGAGTGAGTAAATAAAATGTCATACTGCTGGGAGAGATGGTGCACACCTGAAATCCCAGCATCTTGGGAGGCTGAGGCAAGAAGATCTCAAGTTTGAGGCCAGCCTCAGCACTTTAGACAGGCCCTGTCTCAAAGTAAAAAATAAAAAGGGTTGGGAATGTCGCTCAATGATAGGGCACCCCGGGGTTAAATCCCTAGTACCAAATAAATAAGTAAAATTAAATGTCACACATACCGTAAAATATTATTCAGCAAGAAAAAATAAACAAAGAAACGAAGTACTGAAACATGCTAAAACATGGATGAACTTTAAAAACATCAGGCTAAGTGAGAGAAGTATGCACATAATGCAGGATTCTGTTAATATAAAATGTCAGAACAGGCAAATCTACAGACAAAAAGTAGCCTAGAGATTGCCCTTGGGAATAGAGGTAGGGGTGGAGTGAGAAGTGATGGTAAGGGTGTAGGGCTTCTTTTTGAAACTATGAAAAAGTTCCCAAACTGGTTGTAATAATAGTTATACAACTTTTGAATATACTAAAAGTCATTGCTTGTATACTTTAAATGGTTGAATTGTATGGTGTATAAATTATATTTCGACAAAGCTGATCTTTAAAAATCTCTGGGTTTATGCAGGAGAACCTGGGTTCAATTCCCAGCACCATAAAAAAAAAAAAAAAATCTGCGGGTTTGATTCCCAGCCGTGTCTGTCTGTGCACGTGGACACACGTCTTACTGTGGCCTACAAAGTCTCCATTAAGTGACTTCGTCTCCCTCCATTCTTTTGCTTGCTTACTCAGTCACTTGGTCACCTAATACCCAACACAGGGCCAGGGCAGTGGCCTAGGGCTGGGTTTCTGCATGGCATAAAATGTGGGGTGAAAGCTGCAGTCCAGGTTTCTGCTTACTGGGACCAGGGTTTTGGGTCACACCCTCTAATGGGGCCATTTTTTTTTTCTAATTGGCACAAAGGTGTATATGCTCACCATGATGTGCTCAAGGCTTCTGTACATAGTGCTCCCTTGTCCCTCCTTCTCTTCCTCACGTCCCCACATAACTTATTCCTCATGTTTATTCAGATCTCTGCTCACCCATCACCAGAGAGGCCTTTCCTGACCATTCTCTAGTCAATCACCCATATGCCACTTAATACACATGGATACAATGTGTTGGTTGCTGTCTTTTTCCACTAGAATAAAAGTCCCATGAGAGTTATGGAATTGTTTAGTTCATTGCTATATCCCCAGTCCCTACCACAGAGTAGGTGTTCAATAAATATTTAAATGAATGGATAAATGAAATAAAATCAAGCGATCATCAGAGGCTTAAACATGGACCAGTTGCATGACATGGTTGCACACACCTGCAGTCTTAACTACCTGAGAGGCTGAGGCAGGAGGACTTCTTAAACCCAGGAGTTCAAGACAAGCCTGGGATCAGGCGTGGTGGTATACGCCTGTAATCCCAGCAGCTCAGGAGGCTGAGGCAGTGAGGACTGCAAGTTCAAAGCCAGCCTCAGCAATTAAGTGAGGGCGCCCCTGAGTTCAATTCCTGATACCAAAAAAAAAAAAAAAAAAAGAAAAGAAAAGAAAAAGAAAAACCAGTCTGGGCAACATAGTGAGACCCTGTTTCAAAAACCAACCCAAACCAAAATTGAACTAGTTTAAGCTGATTCTATATGAACAAAGAGTGTGTTTTCAGTGGATTGGATTAATTGCCTAACCAAGGAAAAGGAGGAGAATGTGGTGTCTCGCAGGATCTGAAATTATCCACAAGACCAAGCCCATCCATTAACAAGAAGGCTGGTTAGTGAGGAGGGAGGAAGCCCCTGGCCCGTCTGGCCTCCTACCTCCTCCTTGGTGTAGTACTTCAGGAGTCCTTCTCTTGCCAGCAGGACAAATCTCCTTCTCAGAAACTGTGCATTGTCCTTTCCCCGCTTCCACAGGATTCCTTCTCGGTTACCTTGACCACCAGGGAGAGAAGAAGTGAATGCCCATGACCTTAGGATGCACAAATGGCTCAGGAACCTCTTAGAGTTTCAGGGGCAGAAAGAACCCTCCACCTGTGGCCTAGATACCCCCAATCTAACTGGCTATGTCAGCTGCAGGGAGCAAGGGTCTTGCCTGGGGCCAGCTTTGCTATGGCTTATCATCTCAGTCAGACCCCTCCACTCCCACCCCGTGCAAAACCTGGCTTTCTTGGCTCTCCATGGTATCAGGCTGTCTCACTTGGAGACACAATAAACCTTAAGTAGTCTATGTCTTGACAAACTGGAAGGATTTTGGAAGAAGCCTAAATATATGTGGTCCGGCCCAACTTCACATGGCCATCAGCCTCATGAAACTTTGGAAATAATGAGTGGCCTCAAGGTGCTTGCTGGTATGAAGACTAATTGGTGCTCCTGGTAGCTAAAGTTAGCTGCCTCTGTTTCTCCAAGAGTTGCCACTCTTTGCTCTCTGGGTCACTGTCAGCTTGGACTCAGGGCAGTAGGCTAAAAACTGCCATAGATTCATGGCCACCAATGAGGCTGTGCCCTTACAATGGCAGAAAGGGAAGCTGAAAGGCAGCCCATGCTCCTCACTAAGCTGTGAGCTGCACCAGGAATGGCATTAGCCAGGAGCGCCATGCCTTGTTTAATGGGCCTGCCCGGTGTGGAAATCGTCCTACAATTCTTGCTAAGATTCTGCATACACCTGTGGCCCTGCAAGGATCTGAGACCTAGATGCTTCTCTGCTGTTCAGACTGCAAGACCCCACTTGCTGATTTTCTAGCTGTTTCAAGGTGCAGATATCCACCCCTTGGATACTGTGGGCAAAGCCAGGGCAACAGACATCTCATGGATGGATTTTGCTCCTAATAGTCGGCATTTTGTTGGTAGGGCTCATCAGAACACTGATTCCACAAGATACAAAAATTACCTTACCTGGGGGAGGGACTGCTTTCCCATCAGCCATAAACTCCTGTCTCTCATACTTAGCTCGAATCCACTGTTCCTTTAACACCCTAAAAACAGAGAACCTTTGGTCAGATGAATCCAGAAGCACTCTACCACTGACTTATTCCCTAGTCCTTTTTATTATTTTGAGACAGAGTCTCATTTAAATTATTGAAGTTGGCCTTGATCTTGTGATTCTCCTGCCTCAGCCTCCCAAGTAGCTGGGATTACAGGCATGTGCCACCACACTTGACAGCTGTTATTTCTTTTATGGTTATTTATTTATTTATGGTACTGAGGATTAAATCCAAGGGCACTTAACCCCTGAGTCACATCCCCATCCCTTTTTATATTTTTATTTTGAGACAAGGTCTCGCTATGTTGCCGTGGCTGGTTTAGAACTCACTATCCTTCTGCCTCAGCCTCCCAAACTGCTGGAATTACAGGCATGCGCCACTATGCCCAGCACTTTTATAGTTATTATTTAAGGATCTGCAGCTTAAGCAAGTTTTTGTAGTCAACCTGAGCTGAGGTGGGATAGTCCTAGACAGAACACTCAACAGGAAGTAGCTGAAACACATTTTTCTATTAAAATACCCACATCTCTCCTCTACCACCTGTAGGCTCTCAGAACATAGGAGGCAGAGTGATAGACAGTTCAGAAAATTCCCCATCTCACAGCAATGGAAACTGAGGCCCAAAGAGGGAAATGACATACCAAACAACAGAGGTAGAAAGAGGCTTAAGCCTTAAGGTTTTTTTTTTTTTTTTTCAGTACTGAGGATTAAATTCAGGTGTACTATCACTGAGCTACATTCTCAGCCCTTTTTATTATTTTTTTTTTGAGACAGGATCTCACTAAGCTGGCCAAACTTTCAATTGCCTCAAACTTGCAATCCTCCTGCCTTGGCCTTCTGAGTAGCTGAGGTATAGGCAGGTGCCATCATGCCTAGTTTAAATCAGGATTCATTTGTGATGGTATCAGATGCACTGCTGGATCTACCTGCTGACCTGGTCCACAGGAGAGATTGCCACAGACAAAGGCATCCGAGATGGGGTAGAGGTTTGGGGGATGGGACCCAGGAAACCTCTCAGCCAGCCCCTAAAGAATTGCCCACTTACAGGCAGTCATTGGCTTGGGGGACGTAGTAGAAAGCTGGGACTCTGGCTTCGAACTTGGCCTTCACGCGGAGGTTCCCATTGTGAGTCATAAACTGCAAGACAACAGCAATTTAAGATAATCTTAGAACTTGGAAAAATGTGAAATGAAACCCTGGTCTACCCAGAAGGCTATAGGTCTCGCTGGCTTCTAGGCTGGGTCAGAAGGAACTGCCCCCAAGAAGGACATGTCCCACCAGGCCTGCTAATTGCACTGCCAGGAAGTCCCAGGCTGACCAATGAGGGGCAATGATATCCATGCTTCAAACGGAAACAATACTTCACAATTCTTACACAGTGACTCATTGGATACCCTTAGCCATTTTAATATGGCCATCTTCATTTTAGAGATGAGGCAACTTGGGCTCAGAGAGGCTTAATGATTTGTCCTTGGCAACATAGCTAGAAGTGGAAAACTGGAATTTGAACCTAGACCTGTCTGACTCCAAAGCTCACATTCTTTCACCTACTCCTTTCGCAGATGGCAGGACCCCCAGCAGCTCTAAATGTCTTCAAAAGACAGAGGCAGCTGGAGGATGGAAGTGGGTGCTGGCCCCATAGAATACATATGTCAGGGTGATCAGTGGACCAGAGTGGACGGTGGAGGTAGCATATCTAGGTGAGAGCAGCAGTGGGAAGAAACGCCAGGTTTTGAAGGGACACCCTTGGTTAGAGTGAACCGTACTCTTCACCTTCCTGGGAGCTGTTGGGCTATGTCACAGGATATGTACCAGGTTTGGATCCCAACAGGGTTGAGATTCTGCCATTTATTCCAGGACTGACCCTGAGATCTCACATATAAAAATGAAGAAAAGGCACAAATAAAACGCTTCAGGTTTATGTACAGATTGACTTCTGAACTAGAATCTAAGTCCCAGGTAAGCAAGGACCTTGTCTTGTCCACTGTTCTCTCCCAGCACCTAACACATAGTAGGCTTAGAGTAACTATGTTTTAGCTGAATAAGTAAAACATCCATCCCAGTGGTTTTCTGGGACGGTTCCTGACACAGAGTGGGTGCTAAGTCATTTGATCTGCTTCCCCAATTGTTCTTGAACCCCTCAGCCAACAAGTACAGTATAAAACTGCCTGCTCTCCGAAGATTTACCTGGCCAAAATGTTACTCCCCCCCCTTAAGGGAGTCCTCAGTGCCCACAGGGCAGTAAAGCAAAGTGGTCCTCTTCCCACCTCCGGGAGGGCAGGAGGACCATAGCATGTTTCTCTTCTCCCAGTCTAGGACTTCCATTGATGATAAGAGCAACTGTTAATTGACTGCCTACTTTATTCCTCAAATGAGCCTGCATTTAATGCTTCTAGCATCCCTACGAGAAGGTAGGTATGCCTATAATACAGATGTGGAAACTAAGAGTTCACAGCTAGGATTAAGTAAGTAGCTCAGGGCCTCAGGGCTTCTAAGTGAGCAAGTGATGAGTCAGATTACGTCCTTAGGGCCTCTGTCTAAAATGCCGTCTACTGTGTTTCCTCTGTTAGTCTCTGACACTCGCTGGGCTTCAGTTTCTTCTTCTCTGGACTGGGAACACCCACTCCCTGTCTCCACCCCAACTTTGCAATTCCACCTGCACACCCTTCTACCTCCACAATACTGTCGTCCCAGAAGTCGAGTCTCACGGATTTAACTTTGCTGATGTCCGGGAAGTTGCGGTGGACGCCAGAGCAGTGGAGACAGATGAAGATTCCCAGCTTGTAAGAGGCCCAGTCGGGATCTGCGGGGCAGGAGGGTAGCTGAGCAGAGCTGAGCCAAGAAACCAAAGCTGGACTGGGGCTCTGGGACAGATAGGACCTGACAGGATTCCGGAGGCTGTGGCCAGCTCTGCCTGTGCGGGGCTCCCCACCTTGGAACAGCTAAGTTACTAGCATGAAATGTGGTCGGCCCACCCGCCACCGCGGCGGCCACCAGGGTGACGATCTTGGAGAGATTCCAAGGGATGGGGGCGAGGCCGAGGCGGGCGAGACGTGGAAGTGACAGAACTGAGGGGGAACTGAGAGGAGCACCGGGGAAGGACCGGCAGCCAAGCGACGGGCTGGGAGCTGCAAGTGGGCAGGTCGGAATCACGGCTCCTCAGGTCTGATCGCGGTGGAGAGGGAAAGGGAAAGATCTCGGAGGCGTCCAGGGGAGGGACAGGGGACACATGACCATCAGGAGGCCTGGGGCTGAGGTCTAGGGCTCCTCGGTGAGTGAGATGTTTGTATCCAGAGCGCGGGAAGTGCCTAGGTCTCGAGGGATGGCTCAGGGAGCTGGGTCCTGAGCCGTAGGGTGTCTGTGGTGGGGGCGGTGGACAGGAAGGTCAGGGTGCCCAGCTCCTGGATGTAATATCGGGAGGGTCCCAGGACGTGGAAAGATCCGCGTCCGGTCTGGAGTCGGGAGTCAGGATCCTGCGTCCGGGTGGGAGGCTCACCGTCTGGATGGACGGGAGTCCGGGTCCCAAAGCTCAATAGGGGACATTTCTGGGTCCTACGAAGATAGAACCGGACCCGGTGTGCTCGTAGGGGAGAGTCTGGCTGGCCAACTCCGGAGCTGCACTTGCCCCGCGCGCCCCGCGCGCCCCGCGCCGCTGCGCCCTTACCCGCCGCCCCGCAGTCGGCGCAGTGCGCGTTGCCGGGGCCCGCAGCCTGCAGCAGCTCCAGAAGCCGCTTCTTGTTGCGCTCGCTGTCGCCCATGGCGGGCGGGGCGGGCTCAGCAGGGCTCAGCCCGGCCGCCTCCGGGCCCGCGGCCGCCCATGACCAGTGCGCTAGTCCCCACCGTCGAAAAGGACCCAGCCCGCCGCCTCTCCAGCTCCGCCCCTCCAGGGCCTCTGCCCCGCCCTCGGCCGGGCCAGTCCCGCCCCTCCCCTCCACAGGTGGGGAGGGGCAAGAACACCAGACTTTGAGTCGTTGCCCTGGAGCAAGATCAACTTTTGGCCCGCCACTTCCTAGCTGCAAGACTGTGGACAATAATGTTCAGCCTCTTTGGGCCTCAGGTTCCACCGCTATAGTGGAAGAATAAGGGCATATGTCCACATCTTGGGGCTCCTTGGAAAACTTAAACAGAACCTAACTTTTGTTAGGATCTTACATCTATTTCGGCACATAGGTATATTGCAAACATCACCTTCTCAAGAAACCCTTCTTACTACCCAGTATCAAAGAGTCTCTCCAGCTTCTGGTCCTTCTAGAACTCTATGATAGGATTTGTTCATCCCCTTTGGCCCTGGGCACTTTCTGTCCACCTTGCACCATAGTGATACATACTTGGGTTAATTCCACGAGTCTTCACTAGTGAGCTGGATATCAGCAGTGTTATTCCTGTATCTCTTTTATCTCGTAGAAATGGCACCCGCACATTTTTTGGAAATCGAAAAATAATTGCATGACTGTGTTCACCAGGAACTGAACCACCTGGACATAGCAGGGTCCTGTCAAGTTCCATCACCATAAGGTGTGGGCAGGGCTTAGATGGTCTTGAACATGAACATTTCATTACCCCCCCACACCTTTTTAATTTTAACCCAGGGATATTCAACCTCTGAGCCATATCCCCAGCCCCTTTTTTATATTTTATTTAGAGATAGGGTCTCAATAAGTTGCTTAGGGCCTCACTAAATTGCTGAGGTTGGCTTTGAACTTGCAATCCTCCTGCCTCAGCCTCCTGTGCCACTGGATTACTGGCATGTGCCACGGAGCTTGGCCTTCTCTTCTTGATACCATCCTCAGACACTCATCTGCCTCCTGGTAAAATGCATACTGTGTGTACTTGACATCTCCTTTGTTGGTAACATCCATCTATGGCATGCATATGGCTTAATGCACATGATGCTCGATTTCCATCCTGATGAATGGACTGAAGCTGATATTGTAGCTGACCTGCCCACACCCACATTCAAAATATACACATACACGTACATACACACACCATAATATAATGGAACCAATCAAAGAATACACAAATTCAGGTTTGAATATTGGCTCTATCACCTGCTGTTTGTCCTTGGACAAGCTTTTTCACTTCTCTGAGCCTTGGACTCCTCATGGGTAAAAGGAGAATTTTGAGATCTGCCTGCCTATTCGGGTCTTTGAAATGACACACAGTGTTCTCAAAACACAGTGGTTCCCTTGCTTCCCTTGCCCTCCTGGCCAGCTTGTGTTATTGTCATCTGGAATGCTATGTGTCATTTCCCATCATCCCCAGCGCAGAGGAGGTCAAGCCACCAGGCCCAGAGGACAAACATTCTGAAGAACAACCAGCCATGAGGGTATTGACTGGAGCAGCCACAGGGTGCTGGGAGAGCCGGCTGGGGTCAGGAGTAAGAGGCTGTTTACTAAACAAGCCGAGAGATGATTCATTTCCTCTGCTTTAGATGAAAAAAGAGACAGAAATACATCTCCCAGGAGAAGGATGGGAAAGGCAACCTATGGTAGGAAGGCAGAGGGAGGGGGAACAGGAAAGAAAAAGGGCTCAAGCCAAGGACATTTGTGTTCTGTCCAATGCCAGAGCAAAATTATGATGCTGAGATGTTCTCCTCTGGCACCTTGACTCTCACTGTCTCCTCCCTGGAAGCCCCCCAGAACCAACCCAAAGAAAATATGGCATCTCATTCCCAGTAAGGAGCCGGAGATTGAGAGGTCTCCTTCCTTTCCCCTCTTCCTTGCCTTATTTTTGGATGTTTCCATGTAACACGAATAAAAGCCTTAAGGAGGAATTTCAGTCATCCATAGAGGAAAAGAAAAAAAAAAAAAGAGTACTTTGGTATTGTATTTGTGATAGGTTTCTTTCCTTCCTTCTTCCTTTTTGTTTGGGGCCCGTGGGAGATAACCCTAATTGATACTTCTTGGGTATTTTGCAGAAGAGTTCCACAGCATCTGATCTGTTAGTGCTCCCTGATCACCCACCGAGGGCAGCATGGATTTATGCCATTTTGCAGAAGAGAAAGCTGAGGCTTACAGGAGTTAAGTTTTTCAAGGTCCTGAAGTCAAATAAGAAGCAGAACAGAAACCTAAATCCAGGTCTCCTATCATGGTGTTGTTTAGTCCAGGTTATTTCTTGAAACCTCTCTTTTAGTCTTCTCATTATGGATTTTTTGGGTTTACTTTTGTATGTATTTAATGTACGCAATATGTTTATGTATTCAATATACATATACACTGTGTAATGATTATCACAAAGAACATACCCATCACCACCAAGGTTGTACATTCATCCCCAGAAATTGCTCATCTTTTTTTATATTATTTTTTCTTTTAGTTGTAGTTGGACACAATACCTTTTTTTTTTTTAATTTATTTTTATGTGGTGCTGAGGATTGAACCCAGGGTCTTACACGTGTGAGGCGAGCACTCTACTACTGAGCTACAGTCCCAGCTCCAGAAATTGCTCATCTTATAACTGAAAGTTTGTACCCCATTTTTTATTGATTTTTTAATATATGACAGCAGAATGCATTACAATTCATATTACACATATAGAGCACATTTTTTCATATCTCTGGTTGTATATAAAGTACATTCACACCAATTTGTGTCTTCATACATGTATTTTGGATAATAATGTTCATCACATTCCACCATCATTTCTAACCCCCTGCCCCCTCCCTTCCCCTTCCACCCCTTTGCCCTATCTGGAGTTCGTCTATTCCTCCCATGCTCCCACTCCCTACCCCACTATGTGTACCCTTTTTAAAAATATATATATATATTTTTTGTTGTTGTTGTAGAAAGACTCAGTATCTTTATTTTATTTATTTATTTTTTATAAAAATAAGTCCAGAGGTGCTGAGGATCAAACTCAGTGCTTCACACATGCTAGGCAAGCGATCTACCGCTGAACTACAACTCCAGCCTCTGTATACATTTTACTATCATTTATTTCTTTGGAAATTTCTTCACCCCACACAGAAATGCTATAGCCCATTTCTGGGTACTGGACATGATAAAGTTGAGCTCAGCTTCTGTGTTCAGAAACCAAAAGCTGCTCCTGAGGAAAGAGGATTGTGCCACAGGCTGTCAGGACTCAGGCAAGGTTTCAGGGCCAGGGTGGGTCTCTCTGGGTGCTTAGTCCAGTCTGCAGCTGCTGGGTGAAAGAGCAGCTTAGGCCTGGGAGAGAATGTCCTCTCTAAATAATGCTCCCAGGGTCCTTCAGAGCACAAATATGCAGCCCTGTTCTCAGATCACTGTCTTTCTCTGGCTGAGTGGGTCACAACAGGGCTGGAAGAAAGCCTTCAACCGCATTCCCAGGAACAGGCTCCAGATCCCCAGGGAACAGAGCATGACCTTTTGTAAATTCAAATAATTGTGTTTATTAGCTTTAGAATTTTAAAGAAAATTATAACTATAGGAAGTTTGAAAACCAAAGAAGAAAGGAAATGCTACTTACTATCATGGCCACTGTTTGCCTGGGGACTAGAGTGTTCCAGGATGCTTACGTTCCTTGTTCCATTTCATCTTGGCCACCATCCCGAGAGGTACACTAGGTGGCCTAGAAAGGTTAAGTAAATTTGTCCAAGCTGGGCGTGGTGGCGCACTCCTGGAATCTTGGCAGCTCAGGAGGCTGAGGCAGGAGGGTCACAAGTTCAAAGTCAGCCTCAGCAATTTAGTGAGGCCCTAAGCAACTGAGTGAGACCCTATCTCACCCTATCTTAAAACAAACAAACAAAAAAAGGGGTGGGGGTGGCTTGGAATGTGGTTCAGTGGTTAAGCGCTTCTGGGTTCAATCCATGGAACCAAAAAAAAAAAAATTGTCTAAGGTTACACAAGTGAGGTGCTGCACACACTGGATGATGCAAGGTACTGGAGCAAGATTTGAATCCAAGTGTGCCTTGGGCCCTTTTCTCCAGCAACTCAGGTTGAGCCAGAAGAACATGACTTACAAAAGCGGCAGTTCAGCCTGATTCTGTGCCTTGAATAGTCCTGCTCTCAACCATCATTAGCATTTTTTTGTGAGTTTCTTTCTGGGCTTTATGTATATTTTAATATGATTGAATATGTTTTCATACAACTTTATATTCTTTTATATCCTTTGTCTACTTTTTGGGGTGGGGGAGGCACTCTACCACTGAGAGACATCCCCAGCCCTTTTTAATTTTTTTGAGATAGGGTCTTGCTAAGTGGCCACGGCTAGCCTTGAACTTGAAATCCTCCTTCCTCCTTGCTTCTCCTGAATTGCTGGGATTACAGGCATGTGCCACCACTGCTAGTTTTTTACTTTTTTACATAATAAGTGTTATATCAGGGGCTGGGGCTAGGGCTCAGCGGTATAGCGCTTGTCTCACATGTGTGAGGCCTGAGTTTGATCCTCAGCACCACATAAAGATAAATAAAGTAAAGGCGTTGTGTCCAACTACAACTAAAAAATAAAAAAAAAATAAGTCTCATATCATTATCATGGATGCTCTCTGAGATCATTTTAATGGCAGCATGATAGCCCATGGAATATGTATCTCTCTTTACTGTTAGACATAGATTGTGACCAATTTTTTGCTGGTATACATAATGCTGTAATGATTGTCTTTGAGCTTCATGCTTTTTCCATTTTTAAAACCATTTCTTCAAGCATCTCTCCCTGTTGTAATCACTTGCTGATTGACTGGCTTTCTTCATTCTTTAAAGCTTTATGAGAACAGGGGTCAGGCCAGTTTTGTTCTCGTTGTATCCCCAGCACCTGTCTGCACATTCAATAAATCTTTGCTCCATAAGCCAAAAAAATAAGTAGCAGTAAAAATAATAAACAGGGCTGGGGTTGGGGCTCAACAGTAGAGCACTCGCTTAGCACTTGCAAGGCCCTGGGTTCAATCCACACATGAAAATAAGTAAATAAAATAAATGTATTGTGTCCAACTACAACTAAAAAATAAATATTAAAAAAAATAATAAATAATGAGAGCAGAAGACTTTCTTTCTTTTCTTCTTTCTTTTTTTTTTTTTTTTTTTTTTGATACCAGGGAATGAACTCAGGGCACTCAACCCCTGAGCCACATC